ACAGCAAAAACATGGAATCAACCATGCGCCCATTGAAAGAGAACTGGTTAAAAAAAAATGTGGTACATATACACGATGGAATATTATGCAGCCATAAAAAGGACAAAATTATGAACTTCACAGCAACGTGTATGGACTTAGAATCTACAATACTGAGTGATCTATCACAGAAACAAAGAACTGAGTACCACATGTTCTCACTCTAAGCGTACCTTGGGCGATTATCATACTATAAGAAAGGGATTGGCAGTAGCGGGAAATGTGCTGGGAGAGGCCGGGGGCAGGACTGGCAGGAGTGGGAAACTTCTAGGGAAGGGTGGGGGGCACACCTCCTCAACAAGGGTACCAGCATAATAACCATTTGTATACCTAATGAGCTGTACCCCATATCTTTTTTTAAAAAAAGCAGACAGCCAAATTCAGACACACTGCTTTGTACCTGTGAGAAAATAATTTCTATACTCGTAGAATCTTGTAACAGAGACACCATTCTGTTCATGTACCAAGTCATTTAGGTTGGGGAGAAAAAAAGCAATATCTTCATCTAGATACACACAGCACTTATTAAAGTGTGATTATTGAACCAAATTCTTACATAGAATGAAGTGTGTGTGGTTTTTTTGTTTGTTTGTTTGCTTGAGTCAGGGTTTCACTCTGTCACCCAGACTGGAGTTGCAGTGGCATGATCATGACTCACGGCAGCCTTGACTTCCTGAGCTCAGGCAATCCTTCCACCTCAGTCTCCCAAGTAGCTGGGAGTACAGGCAGATGTCATCACACCCAGCTAATATTTTGATTTTTTGTAGGGACAAGGTCTCACTGTGTTACCCAGGCCGGTCTCAAACTCTTGGACTCAAGCAGTCCTCCTGCCTTGGCCTCCCTAAGTGCTAGGATTACAGGTATGAGCCATCTCTGGCTTTTTTTTTTTTTTTTTTTTGTAGGGACAAGTTCTCACTATGTTGCCCAGGCTGGTCTCAAACCCCTGGGCTCAAGCAATCCTCCTGTCTTGGTCTCCCTAAGTGCTGGGATTACAGGCATGAGCCACCACACCCAGACAAGAGATGCATTTCAAAGAAGAGTTCTCTTCACCAAGGGAAGTTGAACTTTTGACTCCTGGTGTTATCAAGTCTATTTTCTCCTCTTTCTTTTGGCCACCTTTATCTCATTCCTTAATTCTCTGAATCCTGACCACCACCACCAAACCATTGCCAAGTTCTGATGCACAGTGGTCCACAGGACTCACTGGACCAGACTAAAAGTGTTCACAATAACAAGTACAGGGAGCAGAAATCCATATGAGAGTGGAATATGGGTCATATTTATGTTTTCACAGAATACCTCTAAGTTAATTCAATAAAGAGTTGTCAGTCATCTAGATGCGTTTGTTACTATGGAGCTATGGATGTGAGTTAATATTCTGGAATCCTAGACAGCCATTGCCAGGGTTAAGAAAAATCCACATGTGCTCACCTCCAGAGATATTCATAGCATAGTCTTTTAAAAACATTTTTATTATAAAAATGTGGGGTACATTTCCGGGTTAGGTATATAAACATTGATCATGCAGGTACCCTTGTTGATGAGCATGGTATAGTTTTAACTGAACATAAAAAAAGTTGTAGACTAATATGTAATTTTTAGTTTAAAAAAAAGTATGCTTGGCCTATAGATAAGTCTGTTTGGAAAACATGATAGAAAAGAATAAAGGTTGGAAGGAGACATGTGCTTGTCCTTAAGAAATGTTTGTAGAATGAGGGAGATAAGACTTGTATGTCAATAAAATTATGATAGTAAGGTAGATAATGACAGACTCCCTAAGAGAGGATCAGATAAGGTGTCAAGAGAATCCAGAAAAGGACTTGGATTAATTCTGAACGAGAACATCACAGAATGTTTATGAAAGAGATAAGGTCTTGATTGTACCTTGAAGGTATGCATGAGGAGGTATAGAGTGCATACTTTCGAGTCTATGTCAAAAAAATACTTATCTCCGTTCTAGTGGCGTTGAATTTACATTTCACAATACTGTACTACTTATGATAAATGCAAGACCAGGCACAGTGGCTCAAGCCTGTAATCCCAACACTTTGGGAGGCCGAGGTGAGAGGATTGCCTGAGCCTAGCAGGTCGACGCTGGGGTGGCCATGAGCATGTACAGCTTGGGCAATGGAATGAGACTCCAACTCAAAAAAAAGAAAAAAGAAAAAGAAATGCAGGCTGGGCATGGTGGCTCACACCTGTAATCTCAGTGCTTTGGGAGACTGAGGCAAAAGGATTACTTGAACCCAGGAGTTCAAGACCAGCCTGGGCAACATAGTGAGACCCTGTCTCTACAAAGGATAACAAAAATTAGCTGGGTGCAGTGGCATGTGTCTGTAGTCCCAGCTATTGCGGAATCTAAGATGGGAGGACCACTTGAGCCCAAGAGTTCAAGGCTACTGTGAACTGTCATCATACCACTGCACTCAGAACAAGTGACAGAACAAGATCCTGTCGAAAATAAATATATAAATAAATAAATGCACGCACACGCATACACACACACAGAGTGGTTCATATCTTCAGTACATTTAGCAATTTATTAATAAATGAGCACTTTAAATCACATACAAAATCTTAGAGGCATGTCAAACTCCATTGCAGGATATTTAGCAGCATCCCTGGCCTCTCCTCACTAGACCTCAATGGCATCTTCCCACATGCGACAACCAAAAATGTCTCCAGGCACAGCCCCGTGGGAGCAAGATAGCCCTTAGTTAAGAACCACTGGCATAAATACACAAAACACACACAACAGATTCCTTCCCTCTCCTCTGCAGGTTGATTAAAAATTTCAGAGTTCAAGACCTGTATTTTCTTTTCAGTTTCCTTCTTCGATGGTTCTTAACTCCATTGAGTCAAGTAAGTCTTTGACGATCCATTGAAGGCTATTGGCACATTCACTTCTCAGAAAACCACACTAGGTGAGTACCATTTTGCAGGATTTACATTAGGGCAGGATTTACATTAGGGCTTTCCTGAGAGGAGTTCTGTTTCCGGGAGCTTGTAGAATTATCACAATCTGTATACTTAAGGTAAGTCAGTGTAAAAAAGGTCCATATTTTGGACCCTCTTCTGTATTTACTTCAGAACATCGATAATCAGGTGAGAATGTTCTGGTTTACCAAACCCTTCCTTCTGCCTAACTGGGGTTAGGCAGTTTTAGCAAAATTCATGCCATCAGAAGACAAAACATTATGAGGTAAGATAGATTCGACCTCCCTCCACCCACTTCTAGTTTGATTGCTGTTTAATCCAGCTCCTTCTCCCTCCCTGTCTGTCCAGGTGAGTGAGACAAAAGACGGAACCAAAGAGTCAGCCAGGTAAGAAAAGGGTCATCTGGATGCCCGACTTTGTGAAACATTACAAATACAGACAAAGGTGTGTAGAATATGTATCTAAACTCTATGAGTAAATTATGAACTCTCGATAGCCTTCAGCCACTGAGTACTCCTAAAGGATTTTCTAGATCCCCAAAGACTTATGAATATAGAAAACTGGCCGCTGCTCCACTCCTCGTCCGAGCACCTGTGCCAGGCTGTGGAATTCCCTGAAGCACACAACCTAGGAGTCAAGGTCAGCGCCAGACACCGCTGGCCTCTTCCTCTGCGCCCGGCTCTCTCTCCTGTAACGAGTCCCACAGGGCCTGGCCCGCCCCTGACCCCGCTGCCGGCGTTAGTAATTGGGAGTGAGTGAGGAGGATCCGGGTGGCCCCTGCGTGACAGCCAGGAAGATTCTCAGCCTTCCCGGTTCGGGAAAGGGAAAGAATGCGGGAGGGGTAAGATTTCTTTCCCCATAGGACCAGCAGGGCAAGACCGCAGCCGGTGTGTCTTTCCTTTCGACCAAGGTGTCTCTGTTGCTCCATAAATAAACCGTGTCGCTGCCATCCGAGAGCGCTATAAAGGCGGCGGGGCGGCGGGCCCCGGGGCATTCCGAGCTGGGCGCCAGCAGCGACAGGTGAGTCCGCCGCTCAGGATGCAGCCCCAGCCACCGGCCCGGGCTTACCTCCCGGGGAGGCTTCGATGACCGAGGACGGGCGGGCGAGGGGC